AAGAGGCATGTGGCAGCCTGACCTAAAATGTGCCTAAGTGACAGCCTTCCTGAGCCACACTCGGGAGTCCTGGGAATCCTTCAGAGGGAAGCTGTGTTCTCATCCACATGCTCAAGTTCCCAGAGGCAGTTTCCTGTCCTCGATTTGCTGTGTGACTTTGATCTCTGACCTTAGCTTCCTTGTCAGATGGTCTTGCCTCCCACTGGTGTCAATCACTGTGATGATCCAATACACCAGTTCTAGTTCTGGCCTGGGCAGGCCAATCTCAGGGTGCTGCAAAGCTATGGTACAGCCATGCCCTCACGAGGAGGATATTAGCTAACAGGAAGAAGGAGGAACTTTGAAGTACAACACCCCCTAGCTGATAGGAAGCACGGAGCCAGGCCCCAGAGGCGCCGCAGCTCTTCTAAGGCCAGTGTTGGCAGGGCCCATTGAATGGTGCAATATTAGTCTCGACCGCTTGAGGGCAGCACACACCCGTACAAAGACTTACTGGCTTTATGGTCTAATGGAGCTGCTTAGCTACTTTCTTCTGTATCGTTTTATTGCACAGGATGCTCAAATCAGTGAAAAAGTAGAAAATGTATTGTTTGATTGACCTTACAAGCTTGAAGCCAGTAGTCTGAAGAACTATTTAGAGGATAACAATGTGCAAAATAGCAACCATCGTGGGTTCCCTAAGGTCTTATTTTTGAAATCCAGTATCGGGTTCTCAGTGTTTTGTCTTGTTTCATTTTATTGTTCTGTTTTATTCCCTTAAAAAATATAAGCATAAAAATGACAATGATAAAAGAAATGAAATAATGCACGAGGAAACTTAAGCCACCATAGACACGGTTCCACAACCCACGAGCTTGGAGGAAGCTTTTGCTCCCTTGATTTCTGATTTCTGATCACTGCTGAAAGCCAGCTGAGTAACCGCACTGAGCCCATTCACTCCTCTAAAATTTCAGCGATGATCTCAAACTCTGCCAACCACTAAGACTGTGATTATTGGAAATTGCAAACATACACTAATAAAGAAAAGAAACCGAACATCCCCCTGCCCGACTGTGGAAAGTGTCTTCCAAGTAAGTGGTCCTTGGCACCAAAAAGAGTGGGGATCAAGGAGCCAACAGATATGAGGGGAAGAGAGAACTGGAAGGGTCTCACCCTCGTGAAACACTGCATAGGAGCTCTGGATAAAAGAACTTTCAAACCTTGACTTGGCCAAATTAGCTACTTTCAGGGAGGGAACTAAGACACAGAGAGAAACTCTACTTTTTGTCAGGGAAGTAAACTCAGCCTGGGCCCCACGATGCCTACGGTCCCAGGGGCAAATGTGCTTAAGCAAGTCCTATCTCACCGCCTTCTCACAGCCTGTCCTAAGTACAGCCATCTCTTTCTCCTTCCTGTCTTATCATCTTTACATAATCAAACACTTTGCAGAAATTCTCACATTTTCTGTTGTGTACAAAGAAGTAGAATGTGTGGCCCATGCATCTGCACCGCCCACTCCTGAGCCCCACCGGATGGCTGAACCTCTCTCCACAGCCCATGGCGCTGAGGAAAACACGTGTACCCTAATTATCGGGCTGACAGGTGAAATGAAAGCTCTTTTGTCATTTTTCCTGATACAAAATTTGAATGAATGCTAGCTGATAATGTGAGATGCTTTGCTTCCCCAAGTAGAGTATGGATTCTTTGTGGAGAGGACCTTGTAAAGCTTTCTGCTGTATCCCAACAAAGTTCCAACTGCTTTGAAAGGAAGATGTTCTGAAGTTGCCTCTCTGGCTAGAAAGGATGTGCACCACTGTGGGCAGCTTGTGGTCTCTGGGTGAGACAGTTCTGACTTCCAAACACAGCTTTGCTGCTTACTGGTTAAGTGGCTTGGGCCAAACGACCTTCATTCTCTGAGCTCAGTTTCATCCTTTGCAAAATACAGGAGCATACTGTCTCCCCTCAAGAATACTGCAAGAACTCTGTGAGCCCATGCAGGTGAGGTCCCTACCACGGTGCTCAGGAAATGAGATCTTGAGTCATTAGCATGCTTGTCAAAGAGGAGGAAGAATGTAAGTCTAGTCCATAAAATGATATCAGATTCATGCCCTGGAGCCTCAGACAGAATAAGAATGACTTCCACAAGTGCCTGAGACAGGGGAGTGCATGAGAAGTGTGTGTCACTTCACACAGGTATCCGGCATTGCAAAGGAGGTTTCCAGGACGGACCTCGATGAAGACACACCTGCATCTATTCACATCTGGAAGGCAGCAGGCCAAGGATGAAGCTGCTTCTGTGTTTCTGGCTGCTCCCCATTGCTGGCCTTGCCCTGAGCTCCAGCCATCAGATGAGCAGAGCCTTGGAGAAGAGAGGCACGTTACCTCACGTGTTAACCAGCCAGTATGGCTGGGAAGCCTGTGTCAGCAGGCAACAGATGGAGAAGGCGAGACTGGCAAATGAGTCTACGTGTCAAGAGGGGGTGTGAGGCAAGCCCGGTGGGTAACCCAGCAGGTGACTAGGAAAAGGCAGGGATCCAGGCAGGTAAGGGAGGTGGGGCCCACTACACGGGCAGTGCAAAGGAGGCACCCAGGTGTGGGGCCAGGGGTGTAAAGAGCCAGAGAGAATGAGGTGTGCATGAGGAGTTTGGATCTAAGAAGGCTTCACTCATTTTATCAGCCAAAGAGTATGCAGTTCAGGGAGCTGGGTCATCTGTGCCCCAGGCCCAGTGGGCAGCAGGGGGGGGCTGTGCCCCTTGGACCACCAGTGTCCCTGGGCAGCCCCCTCTGGCCCAGCAGGGCTGAGCAAACATAACTTGCCTCTTCTCATCAGCACTGTCAGAGCAGATTTGTGACAGCAGCACTCATCCACGCTTCAGGAAGTCAGTGAGGCTGGGAGCTTCAGGGAGAGGCCAGATTTAGTGATGACTAACACGCCCAAATGACATCAGGGGACTTGCTGCCTGGCCTAAGCAGCAGAAAATGCTTAGGACTGGGATGGATGGGGCAAAAAATGAAGCTTGGATATGAGTGAGCTCTGTGGGGAGCCCAAGGTAACAGAGGAAGGATGACAGATGCATGTCCTCATGGTGCTGACTGTGCTCAGGAACAGCTCCTGATCAGTGTGTTGAGGAGTCTGCAGCCAGGCCAAGCAGAGCTAGAGTGCTGTGATCATTTAGTCATGTCTGCCATGGGTGCAAGTTTGGAGGGCAACCTTCCTATCTGCCATTGCTTTGTGCCTGCCATTTCTGTTCAAAATGGTCTTAAGATGCCATTAAGATGTTATTTTTTTCCTTAGCTTCAAATCAAACTAGGCAACATGCAAGGTTTCCGTCCTAGGAAGATGTTGATGCTACTTGTGAAGCTCTCATCCCTCGCTTGTCTTTCCCTCCTCCTCTACGTCTTCCCTTTCCTCCCTTCTTTTTCTTCCCCTCTTTCCCTAACTTCCTTCCCTTTTTGACGTCTTCCATTCCTTTTTTCTAACCTGCACAAGCAGGTGACATAGACGCAGGCCTGATTTCAGGATCAGGATCCACTAGAAGCTGTGCTGAGGTTGGTGGAAGTCCTGTGCACCAAGACAGCAGGCAAACAGCAGCTGAAAGACAGCCGGCGAGCATCGCACAGTGCTGTGGGGCTGGGAAGGACGCGGCCTGGCCACGGAGCTCAGGCTCAGTACAGATCTGTCATCAAGAACAGGGACAGCACAAGTTATCTGATGCTGCAAAGGCAGCGCCTTCCAGGACTGAGCTGATTGAGGAATGCTTGGCTGGAGACCATGGGATACCCAAGAGAGGGAGGTCAGTGACCAGACCAAGCCTTTTCTGCCTGTGAAACAGACTCCAGTCCAGGCTCTGGGAGGCTGTTGTGAAGACTGAAAGTCTGCAGGAGCGAGGCCCCCTGGTGGTGACTGGCAGCAGCTCACCTCACGCCAGCCTCTGTGCCCCAAGAGGACCCTTGAAGACCTGGTCCACCAGCCCCATCGGTGAGACCCAGGGCCCAGGAAAGACAGTAGAGTGTTGTTGAAATCGGCCACCGCTGGAGGCTCCCATCCGTTCCCAGCTGTGCCTCGGCTGTGAGTCCTGGTTCCGCTCAGGGCCGGGAAGGAGGAAGCTACCGATCCTCTGTCACTGCATTTGCTTTAGAGCCTCAGAGCCCTGGCCACAGATGGGCATGATCATGCCTTTGAGCCCCAATGTTACTGTGTGGCAATGACCTCTGCCAGCATCTATGCCTCTGGGGAGGGCAGAAGAGTGGCCACGGGCACTGAAGTGGCTCAGGGACCTCTTGTCCTCACCTGTGCACCCTGCCCAGCAAGATGACTCTATCCCACATGCAGACCCACACGGGGAGGGCTCTGCTTCCTGCAAAGGACGAACTGACTTGTTTTCAGTTACATTTCCTCCCCATGCCAGTTAAGAGACTTTCAGTTACTCTCTGATGTACATTGGGCCTCAGAGCCTTTGCTCAAATAGTTCTCCTACCCAAGAACATCCTGCTTGAGAAACTCCTATGCATCCTTCAAGACCCAATGCTGATGATGGTTCCTCTGGATAACCTCTCTGTTTGGTGCCCGGGCCCAAGATCCATATTTTGGAAAGCTGTACTAGAGTGAGATTAGTGAGGACAAACTGAGTGGGCATGGTGCATATGTCCCACTGAACAGCACACAGTAGGTGCTTAGCTAGCACGTGGACTTGTCCACTCACCTCCACTGTGCCTGCCCAGGACTGGCCTTGGCTCTGTGACCGGTGCACACACCCTCCACTTCAGGGGTCACTTCCATGCCCTTCCCCAGCGGGGACCAAAACTGATCTGGGCAGGGATGCCTCCATGATGCTGTGTGGCTGTATGCTGTGGCCATGGAGGAGCCGTGATCACAGGGGAGCCAAGTGGGAGCACCACAGGCCTCCTGTCGCCATGGAGACCAAGCCCATGGGCAGCCAGGCCCGGGCTGGTCAGTGAATGAATAAACGTGGCCCATTTTTCTGCTTTTGTTCAGAGCTTCCCTGCGGCTTCCTGCTGTCGGCCCCAGCTGTGGGGAAGGCGGAATTTGCCTGATATCGCAGAGCCCCTGCCTGGCAGCGCCGAGCCTGGACTGAGTTGCCCCATGCCAAGATTCATGCCCGGCAAACAAGTTGCACTTTGTTCCTGTGGGAAAGTCCGGCCTCTCAGGAAAGAGCGGCCCCTGGTCTGGGGACGCGGCAAGGCTAACAAAGCCTCCATCCGCTGGCGACGACTCGTGGGCCCCAACGTCCACCTCCATGCTCGGTGAGAGGAGGGATCTGCTCTGGGGGTGGAATTCTGAGCCATCCCTTTGTTCCTTATCCAGTAGGCCCTGGAAGCAAACTGCCTGGCAGAGGGCCTCTCTTGCCTGCCCTTGCTGTGCTTCGCACTGCTGGTTGCAAAGGAGGGCTATGCACAGGGCATGTGGGCCTGGGCTGGAGTAGTGGCACAGACAGGAGCCAGCAGGGTCACCTGAGACCCCGCCGGAGGCTGGCTCAGCCTTCGCCCCTGCAGTTAAGGCCCCAGGGATTGGACACACTCCTGCCCCCTCCCTGGTGCTGGGAGGAATCCTGATGGCACGGTCCAAGGACAATGACAAGGAGTGACTTCATGGAGCACTGGTCACATGGGGGGGCTCTCAACACAAGGCATCCCATGCTCATGGCACCAGATAGTGCCTCCAGAGAACTCACAGGCTCAAATTCGGGCTTTCAGCTGTCTACAGGCAAACAGGAAGGACCAAATGTGAAGAAACGATGTAGCAGAAGATGGGACCCAAGGTGCACCAGGAACCCTGTCCCACCTGGTGGGCTCCCAAGGACAGCGCCTTACTGCTACTGTGGAAACACGTGGGTCTGGCCTTGGATCTGGTGGATCTTGTGATTGCTTTCCAAGAAAGTTGGAAATCTGGATTTTGCTGTGAAATTTCTCCACTTGTGAAGATACAAGGCAAGTCAATATGTTGTTTATGGTAAAGTAAAACCATACATACAATATGGGAATGAGAAACACAACATCCAGTACAGGAGTCACCTCTCAGAGACAGAGAGTAAAGGGGCTGGAAGAGGTGGCCAGGAGGTCAGTAGTCCTGTGTTGGTCTATTTCTCCAGCTGAGAGATGGGTGCATGGATATGTGTCACAGGATTCTTGATGACTTGGGAGTACATTATATGGATGCCTACACAGAACCCATAACACATGATTTAAAAGCCACCTGGGAACCAGATAAAACCTTCTTGGAAGCCATAGATAGTGTGTGATAGCTCAGGGACAGAGGTGAGAAAACTCAGATTCAAGGAGTTGCACCACATGTCCAAGGTCAAGCAGTAAGCCAAGGTCACTGTCAGGTCTGGGTCCTGTCAGAAGCAGAGCCTGAGACAAAGGTTTGAGCACAAGTAGCCCCTCAGAACAGCAGCTGTGGAGTGGCACTGAAGGAAGCCAGTGCAGGGTGGAACCCAGCACAGCGGTCAGAGTTCTCCAGAGAGACAGAGCACACAGGCTGCCCATGCTACCAGACGTAAGAGCGGCTTTGTGGTATGGAGCTAAAAGTCCTACCACAGGTCACACGAAAGCTGAAGACCCTCAGGTGCTGGCAGCATGGCCCCACGCATGTCCGAAGGCCTCTTAGGGCAGAGGGAGCCTATGATGTGCCTCTCAGTCCAAGGCTGGGGAAGGGGATACTGGGGCACATCCTGGTGTTCAGGGCAGAAGAGTGTCCCAGTTCCCAGAGAGGGTGCATTTGCATTTCTTCTGCTTTCTATTCCATTGGGACCCCCAGGTGATTGGGCAGCACTGCCCACACTGTGACTAGATCTTGCCCACTCAGTCCCCTGACGCACATGACAATCATCTCTATGTCTCCCCTAGGAACACGCTTACCGACACACTTGGAAATCACACTTTAGCAACTGTATGGGTGTCCTTAATCCAGGGGAGGTGACCCTCAAAATTGACTATCACAACAAGCAAGTGGCACCCCAGTGAACCAGAGCTCAGACTTGCTGGGCCTGTGTAGCGCATAGTGCAAAGCGTGAGCCTCCAGGTTTTCCTGCCTCAGCATTCTGCTTGCAAGGGCAGAGTCTCTGTGGGAACAGAAAGAGCCCTGAAGACAGAAAGGTGGGGCTGACATGTCGCAAAACGGAGTCAGGGCGGGTGGTGAGTTTAATCAGGATGCTGGCCACAGCTGCTACCACGCCCCAGCTGGATTCGAACGCCAGGTGGTTGGGCTTCTGTACTGAGGCACCTGTCTACTCAGCGTCTCTTCCCCAGGAACCTCCTTTCTCTACACCCACTGAAAGAAACTCTCCTACAGGATGGGAGACGTTTAAGCACTGGTATTTCAACAGTCCCACGTGATTCTGACCCATGCCTAAGTTCGAGAACTGTTGACCAAGAAGAAAAAGAGCAGGTTCTTAACCCAGCATTCAAAGTCACGGCCACATTCTGCTCCTGCCCTCCCCTCCCTTCCCGTCCCTTCCCAGTGCCTTAGGTCATGGCCCTTCTACCTGCTGGAATATGTCTTAGAGGAACTGCTAGCCCCAAGATGTCTGATGCTGGCAGAAAAGTCCAGGGCTGTAATTTCAGCCTCAGGATTTAAATTGACGGTTTCTGAAATTACTTCACTTATCTCTTCTTGGCCTTAAGATTGCTTTTTATAAATTGAGATGAGGGAAATGTTTCTCTCTTCCACCAAGAGGCATAAAGGCACCCAATTCCCTTCTGTAACCCAAAACGTAAGCTTTAATTTTCCATTTCCTCCACAGCTATGGTAAAGCTGTTAATTTTTATGCCTGCGCTCTTGTCCCCATCGTGAATGTCAAAGCAATGTGCAAATGCTTGCTGCTTCCTGTGGTTCCTCTAACTAGAGCCCTGCAAAACAAATGTGGACAGCCAGAGCCAGAGATCATTAGGGCTCCTCTCAAAGATGAGGGACAATCTACACATTTATGGAGCATCTGCCACATGCAGGACATGGCCCTGGGGTTGGGGACTCTGAGGAAGTCCCAGCCCCAGTCTCTGGGACACAGATGGGGCAGCACGTGATCTCCCTCCCGTGTGGAGAGTTAGGTAGTACCTACCATGCACAGCACAGGCCTGACCGTATTTGTCAGCCCAGGGAGATGCCAAGCGCAGTCATTCGCTCCTCCTTACCCCACCCAGAGGAGTCAGGATCATGTCTGGTACACGCTGGGTGTGGATGTGCATCCACCCCTGTGATCCCACAACATTCTGGGAGGCTGATCTCAGTGTAGGCTACCTGTGAGACCCTGTATCAAAATTTTAAAAACTTTAACAAATTTTTAAAGGGCTGGGGATGTAGCTCAGCTCAAAGGTCCTGGGTTTAATCCCCAGTAACCCTTCCTCTCCCCCAGAAAACAATGCAGAATCCAGCAGGGAAATTTTTTTCTTTTTTGCTAGGCCTCACTTGGCTTTCTTCAGGCCTTTCCAAAGACCACAGTGTGAAGCATCTTAGCGTGCTCAGTGCTCTGCAGTCAGCTCTATTTTCTTAAGGAGCTTCAGGGTTCCTGGGGGCACTGGACAGCACACTCTAGTCAAGCACCAAGTTGCTCATGCCAAATATTCTGCTATTCATTAAGAAGGCCCCTGGCTGGAGATGGGCATGGTGGTGCATGTCTGTTTGATAGATACTCAGGAGTCAGAGGCTGGGGGATTGTGAGTTCAAGACCAGCCTGGACTATACAGCAAGGTCCTGTTTCAAAAACAGAAAAAAAGATAAAGGTCCTGGTTTTTGCAGGGTCAGTGAAAAGGTCATTCAAATAAGGGGAGCTGACTTTTTATCATCAGACCCTTGGTAATGAATACCTCGTGGTTCCTGACAGAGAAGCCCAGGGCTCATGCCGAGAGGAAGAGAGCACCTCCAGAAGAAGGTTCCTCACTCATCCTTACCCATTTGAGGATGTGTGGGGACATGGCACACACTGAGTAAAGCAGAACAGAAGACCTTGGGACAAGTCATCTGATAGGGTAAAGGGGCCCAAGAAACAGCAGTGTTTAGATGCCCATTAGGAAAGGGTTAGAATCTGAGATGTTCAAGAACATGCACATTGTGGCCTGGTTTCATCAGGATGACACAGAGGTAAAGAGGAACACTGTGAAAGTTACGAAGTTTCATCAGAGACAAAGGCCACGTTGACAAATTGTTTGGCTTGGAGTTCAGTGACAAATCTGGTGACCATGTGCCCTGGTGGGAACTGAGGACTCTGGTACCCCGAAGTCCCCACAAAGACAGAGTTGTCTGTGCCTGGTGTGAAGCTTTGGCCAGCACTGGAGCCTTGAGCCCTCCCATTCTCTGGGGGTGATGTACTCCCTGGCCCGTCGGCACTGTCCTGGACATTCTGGCTGCTGGCAGCCTGCTCAGCAGGTCAAGAAACTGCTATCAGCCACTCTCGGCCCGTCCTGATTGCCACCAGCTGAATCAGACCTGTGGGAGATCAATTCCTGTATTTACCCAGCCCCTCAACAGTGGTTCTCAAACCTGGCCATGCCTTGGAAGAGCCAGAGGAGCTTCTGAAAATACCCACACTGAATCTCACTGGACAGATGCTAGTGGATCACTCTGGGTGTTTCCTGGGCATCAGGATTTCTATCAAAGTTCCCAAGGTGATTCTAATTGTCAGCTAAAGTTTTGGCCTTGCCCTAGAAGGACAGGAAAGTAGCCTAGTGAACTATTTCTTTTTTTAAAAACTAATGATGTACATGGTGCCAAAGGGCCTGTGTAAAGACCTGTGTGTTTGCCAAACTTGTTCAACTGTGGGACCCTACTGTCTGTTGGAGAGAACATCATGCTGAACACATGTTAGGGTACTCTGGGAACACAGTCCAGGGTCTACCAAGAAAGAGTTTTCAGACAAGCCATTTTGTAGGGTGAAGGGGCCTCATGTTACTGGGAATAAAGACTCTCCAGACTATCACGCTGACTTTTGCCACAATTCAAGACTGTAGAGTTGATCAATACATCTACTCTCCCTGCCTTGAACCCCGGGCTGGCCACCTGACTTGCTTTAGCAATGAAACGTGAGTGGAAATGACAGATGTCCCTTCTGAGTTGAAGTTCTAATGGCCACTGCTTGGTGTCACTCAGTTCTGCCTTCGTGTTATTGGGGCAGTGACACCTCAGAGGGAGACTGCTCCCTCAGTCTAGGCTCTGGAGTATAAGGGCCAGCACACCCCCAAGGGAAGAGTCAGAGTAGCAAGAATGAAGCCTCAGTGGCTGTAGGCCACCGAGACAGCAGGGCCACTTCTTACTGCAGTAGGCAGTGCCAACTGTAGTGCCCAGGGCAACGGTACTGATAAATAGACACACTCTGAGAGCGAAGCATTCAGGCTACGTGTCCAACCCATCTGCATTATTTGAATTTTTTTCTCTTGTGTTTCACTAAAAAAGGAAAAAAGGTGTTTAGAAGTATTTGAAGTTTGACCCTTGTAGATAGAATTTCCCTTCTGCTCAGGCTGGCAGGGTCAACCGGAAGCTCTAAGTGTGTTTTTGCTTGAATGAGACAACAAAATGCCCTTCCTGGAGGTGATGCCTACCCTTTAAAAATCTCCTTTCAGTGCTTGGATGTGCAGAAGGAAATGCTTTGGGGGCTTCGACTTAAAATCAGTAGATGTTATTTTTGGTCTGTGCCCAACACACATAAGCTCTCAGTCACCCACCTGGAGGGGAAACAGCTCCGTCAAAATGTCAAGGCAATAACTTCCACACGACCTTTCAGATCCCTGCTCTGGGGACAATAAAGCAGCAGAGAGCAGTGCATATCTGGCCTCAGAAGAGAGGCCAGAAAAAGATGGAGCTCATCTTTGCACTGCCCACTGAACCAGCTGCTCCCTCTGGATCCAGGCATATGGTCAGGTCTGCCACAAGCATAGCTGGTCCTCAGCAGGGTGGAGTGGGCACCAGGCCTGCGGGGGAAATACTACAGAGTTCCCTCCTGCTGTGAAGAGCCCACATGAAGAGCCTAGCTCTAGCAGAGTACAGGGACTGCCTTTGCTACCTTTTGAGGCCAACTTCCCACCTCACTCTCCAAGACTGTCCCCTCCCCCAGCCAGCAGTCAAAGGAAACAGAGCTGCCAAGCAACTTAAACCTTGTGAGTGACTTGTATTTTGCTGGCTAAAAGTGAGGCCTGTGGAAACTGACCTAAGTGCCTAGGGAAAGAGGCACAGAGGAAGAAGTGGGGGAAGGAGGCAGAGACAAAGGCTTTCACCTCTGTGGGCAGAGCCACCTCACACTAGAGAAGAAGGTGGCACTGTGCTGCTGTTGAGAGTGGCTAGGGAGAGGAGTCCCTCAGATGCTCAGATCAGTGCATTTCCAAAGCGAAGCATCTCTATGAGAGGTAAGGAGCTTTCTCAAAAGTCTTCCAAACTTTGAGCATCCACTGTATGAAAAGAAGCTCTACAAGCCAATGCAGTGGAGTCTCGACAGATGTGAACAGGCACCTCACTGAGATACCACTAAGTATATGTGTGCAAGGAGGCTAAACCTCATTTCAGACCAGAGAGGGGTGAATTCAGCCTGCAGACACAGAATCAAAAGACAAAAAGCACTATGCACTGCAGGACTTGTTCATATCAGGTTAAAAACAGACTGATAGAACAGAAGCCTGTTTGCACTCAAGTTGCTGACGCCCCTCCTGGGTCTTTTCTCACCCCTTCAGGTGCCCAGGAGCCCCTAACCCCTCTTCTCCTTCCATGTTCCTCAGGGAAAGGTTCCATCACCTTGGCCAAGATTTCACCCTTTTCCGAGCCTCAGTTTTCTTAGCAGAAAGCAGGACATTTGACCTCCACACACCCCATGGCCCCTTTCAGCTTTTCCATCTGGGGACTTTTCAGACTTCACTGAAGCAAAACTCCCAGGCCTCCTACTTGCAGAACCGAGACAGATCTAGGTTCCCGTCAGGGTTGGGGCTCCTTACGTCTCAGCATGATCCCAAAGCAATTCTCTGATACCTATTAAAGTTCACCCTCCACGGCTGTGGGTCCCACATGGCTCGATCCAAGTCTCTGGAAGGACACTGTTAGAGTGTGCTTGGATGGCCCCACTTAAGCCTCATGTAATCATGGACAGGGCTGAGTTTGGCATTTGTGATTGGTTTGTTGTCTGGCACTGGGATTGGTGGTGAGAGTGCTACACTTGCCCAGGGGTGGAGCCAGGATACAGTGTAAGGAAGAGAAGAAGAGTAGCTATTTTTTTTTGAGGTTTGTGTTTGTTGTTTCTAGAGCCCCGCCACGCAACCTTGTCACTTGGAGCCGGCTGAGTACAGACTAAAACCTCTAACCTGTAAAGAATAAGTCTTTTTTCTTAAACTTTGGTCATCAGGTATTTTGTCTCAACAGTGAGAAAAAAAAAAAAACCAAAACAGAATTTGGTGCCAAAGTGGAGTCATTGCTGTGACTATACCTAACCATGTGGTTCAAGAGCCTTTAAAAATGGCTTATAAAAAGAGATTAAAAAGATTCAAAAATGCAACCTGAAAGAGTGGTCCTAAAACAGCTTAGGCTGTTCTGCATGAGAGATTTTGGCCAGTGCCAAAGAGACCTAAAACTGATAAAAAGCCTGCTGGTAAAGGCCAGGCTTGGAGGTTTCTGCTTTAAAAAAAAGGGCTACATTGGTTGTTAGACTCCATGTGATGTGCATTATGGCTTGGCAGAAAGTTTGTCTGCATTTTGCTCATGCCCAGAGACTTTGTCTGAGACTGAAATTAAGGGTAACAGACTGATTAATCTGAAAAAAAAAAAATTCGAGGCAGTCTAATGTTGAGGAGGTGGCATGGCTACTGTTGGGAGATTTTAGACAGATTTATGTTGAAAATCAAGAGCAAGGAGCCCAATAGGATGATTTAAAACATTGTGAATTTGGCCAAAAGGCTGTAGACTATAAAGATAGAGCTGAGACCTTGATTGCCAAAAACAAAAACAAAAACAAAAAAATTTAAAAGATGGCCTGGGGCCACCTCAAAAAGCAGCGGGTATCCACCTTTTGCAGCCTCAAAAAGTAAAAGAGTTTGCTCAAAAAAAAAAAATCGCAAAGTGTCACATTCCAGCATGGTGACAGAGGCCACAAGAGGTTCCAAAATGGTGGCAAAATGGCAGCAGCATAAAAAAGCTGTTCTTTACAATCAAATTCAGAGAGCTGAGTGATCTACAGCCAGAAAAGAAAAAAGCCTGGATACCACTCCAGCTGACAGCAGACCTTGGCGGCACCCACGTGGTACTGGTTTTAAATTTTTAAAAAATACACAAGTTCTGAGGTTAAAAACAGTTTCCACCCCAATTTCAGAGGCCTAAAAGGCCAAAAAGTTCACCCCGAAGAGGGCAAATATAAAGATATAAAGATAGAGCCAGAAGTGCAATAGAAGACCCAAAAGTTTAAAAAAGCCAAAAACACAGATCATCCAAAAAAGCTGCAAAAACCAAACAAAATGGGCTTTTAAATAAGCTATAAAAAGTAAAACTTCTAAAAGTGCCACGGGGGTAGAATCACTCAATCAAACCTTTGGCACTTGCAACCAGATTGCTTCAGATGCTGAGGGTGGAACTCCCGGACTCAATGTTTGCCCTGCTGGACTTCAGACTTGCTTGGTCTCCAGTGCTTTATATTCCACTGTTTATAACTTTTAAAATGGTAATGTTTATCTTGCACCTTTACATTTAAAAAAAAATTTAACCTTGTTTTATTTATACAGGGGGTTACAGTTAAGAGTTTGCCATAGATCTCACAAGAGATTTAAGACTTAGACTTTTCACAAATGCTGAAGCTGTTAGGACTTTGACATCTGTTAGCAATGCACTAAATGTCTTTTGTGTTAAAGATATACAGGAGCCTTTGGGGGATGAAATGTTTCGGAGTGCTCAGACGGCATCTACTTAAGCCTCAGGTAATCATGGACGGGCTGAGTCTGGCGTGACTGGTTTGTTGTCTGATGCTTGGACTGGTGATGTGCGTGCAGCACTCGCCCAGGGGGTGGAGCTGGGATGCAGTGTAAGGGCAGGAAGAAGCCTTCTCTCTCTTGCTGTTTGTGCTTGCTGTTTATGGTGGCCCTGCCACGACACCCTGTTGCTTGGAGCCAGCTGAGTATAGACTAATACCTCCAACCTGTAAAAACTAAACCTTTCCTTTCCTAACCTTGGGCATCAGGTATTTTGTCTCAACCACTAAAGAAAAAATAACCAAGCAGACACCCTGGCAATCAGCATTTTATACAGCTTCACTTAATTCTTCTTTAGTATGGAATAGTCACACATTTATGGGGCATAGTGTGATGCTTCTGATACATGCATGTAACCTAGAATGACTAAATCAGAGGATTTAGCATATCCACGACCTCAAACTTTACCAAGTCTTCACAACTACAGTTAACAATACTGTAGCATATATTTGGAAATAAGCACAAGGAGGATTCTGAATGAAAGTCAGCATTTTTAGACACCTCCTTGGAGACCCTGATGTATTGAGATATGAAAAATCTGGGCCTCCCGCAAGGGCTGTTTCTGCAGGCCCAAGCTCCCCTAGTTGGGACCCAGGTCTGTCTTCCTAATTCTGCCTTCATTACTTTAGGCCCACAGTAGAAATGATGGCTCCACAGAGTCTTGGACAGAGATGCTGGCCTGGAGCCGTGTGGCAAGGCCTGACCCTGGATCCACAGCAGGGAGAATTTGGGGCTCTGTGGCTCCTGAATAGGGCCCCTGAATGAGGGAAGCCAGATCACCCACCTCATAAATTACAGGCCAGGAAAAGCAGGGCAGGCAGCCCTGCCCCTATATATATATGTATCTCAGGCATTAAATGCCTCACTGGTGCCCCACAAAGCCAAACTTTGTGAAGCAGGGCTCAGGGAAGAGGGTGGGCAATGACCAGAAATTAACCTTGGGACAGCTCAGCCCCTGGGTCCTCTGCTCCACCAGTCTCCTCAC